TGTGGAACAACATAATGAAGCAAATGAAAAAGTGAAATTAGAACAGGGTTGGAAAATGGCCATGTCGTTTACTGGTGATAGATCTGCCTACGTGCAAGAAAACCAATTTTGGAACTTTTGCATGGATAATAGGCTTTCCTGTTTTTCAGTTAGGAGAAAGGCAACTGGAATAGTGGATATCCTCACCTACCTGCTAAAACCTTTGAGGTTTTCATTCTCAAATAAGTTGGCTACTGAAGATGCTGAAATTTCAAGGAGTGAAGCAACTGAAATTCAAAGATTTGAGTTATATCCTGTAGCAAGAGCTATTAGCACATGGAAGAATGATCAAGGGATGGTGGATGAAGATCAATACCAGCATGATCAAAGACACAGGCCTAATATTGATGATTGGAAGAAAGAGGAGCTAATGCTGTTTTTGCAAGAAGCAGTGAGAAGGAAGATTCAAGTCATGAAGTTAAGGATCCTGACATTTGAAAGATATTGGGAAGGAAGAGGTGCAAGGAAGAAGAAGAAGAAGAAGCAAAAGATCTGGGCTGTCTCCTACCGACCACCTTGAGGGCAAGGTGGATGTTTAGGGGGGGAGTATTGATAGAGACCTACTTATTAGAATAATATTAGAAGTAATAATAATAATATTAGTAATAAGGGTCTCTAGTATAAATAGATGGGAAGGGGAAGTAGTAAGGAGGCTTTTGGATTCTTTTGGCATTGGGACTGGGAGATTAGAGAATAGTTCTCTTCTCTTTGGGACTGGATTGTACTGTCTACCGCCATTAATGAGATTTACTGTTTTTCTGAAGCTAGCTTGATTGTTATTTCTTCTGGTAATACTGCGTACTCTATCATACAAATGTCTCTCCCCATCTGGAAAAGTTTATATCTTCAGAGATGTAGTCTTTAATGAGTCTAAATTTCCTTATCCTACACTCTTCACCTCAACTATCAATCTGGTCAATCAGCCCCATGCTACATCCTCCTTACAATCTGTTCCCATTACCATTGTTCAGCCCAATTCCTTTCAACTTTCTTCTGATTCATCTCAATCAAAATCATTATAATCTTCTCCTATTTCTTCTTCATCTCAAACTGATTTCTTTCAATCAGATCATACCCAATCTCCTAACCAACCTACTCATTCTCAATTACATTCAAATTCATCTGAATCAAACTCACAAACCAATTCTTCTGAACCACTTATATCTTCATCTACCTCTCCATCTCTTACTCCTATTATTCCCCTGACTAACACTCATCCCATGCAAACTAGAGCCAAATCAAGAATTGTTAAACCTTGACTTAATCCAACCTTACTTTTAGCCCATGTTGAGCCTAGATCAGTCAAGCAAGCACTCTCTTCTCCCCAGTGGTCTGCTGCTATGAAATCTGAATATGATGCATTGATTTCTAACAATACTTGGTCTTTAGTTCCTCTTCCTCCAGATAAACAGGCTATAGGTTGCAAATGGGTGTTCAGAGTGAAAGAAAATGCAGATGGCTTCATTATAATCTTCTCCTATTTCTTCTTCATCTCAAACTGATTTCTTTCAATCAGATCATACCCAATCTCCTAACCAACCTACTCATTCTCAATTACATTCAAATTCATCTGAATCAAACTCACAAACCAATTCTTCTGAACCACTTATATCTTCATCTACCTCTCCATCTCTTACTCCTATTATTCCTCTAACTAACACTCATCCCATGCAAACTAGAGCCAAATCAGGAATTGTTAAACCTTGACTTAATCCAACTTTACTTTTAGCCCATGTTGAGCCTAGATCAGTCAAGCAAGCACTCTCTTCTCCCCAGTGGTCTGCTGCAATGAAATCTGAATATGATGCATTGATTTCTAACAATACTTGGTCTTTAGTTCCTCTTCCTCCAGATAAACAGGCTATAGGTTGCAAATGGGTGTTCAGAGTGAAAGAAAATTTAAAGCAAGATTAGTTGCTAAAGGTTTCCATTAGAGACATGGTTTTGATTTTGGAGAAACTTTTTCACCGGTTGTCAAGCCCATCACAATCAGTATACTCCTTACCCTTGCTGTATCTCATCAGTGGACTATCCAACAATTGGATGTCAATAGTGTCTTCCTTAATGGTGACCTCAGTGAAGAAGTATATATGGTACAACCTCCAGGCTTTCAAGCAAAAGATACATCTTTAGTCTGCAGACTTCACAAATCCCTATATGGCCTGAAACAGACACCTAATGTAATACTTGAGATTTAATTCAAACGGATTAATAGTACTACTCATACCAACAAGATGCATCTCCTTTTAAGGGAGCTCATCACCTAAGAACTCCAAAGTTAAGCGTGCTTGCACGGGATTAGTCTTGGGATGGGTGACCCCCTGGGAAGTTTCTCAGGGCGCACATGAGTGAGGACAAAGTGCGCGGTAAAGGCTCGTGGTGGTTTGTGAGGACAGTACTAGAGGTCTAGAGTAACTACCTCGGGTCCTGCGGGGCCGGGGTGTTACAGGTGGTATCAGAGCAACCCTGCGACAGTGTGCTGACCCGTTGGATATCGGGCGGTCACTTAGCGGGGCAAGATTCTGGGGGTTGATTGAGATTGGTTTAAGGGCGCAACGAGGACGTTGCGATCCTAAGTGGGGGTGATTGTAATACCCGAGATTAATTCAAGAGGATTAACAGTACCACTCATACCAACAAGATGCATCTCCTTTTAAAAGAGCTCATCACCCAAGAACTCCAAAGTTAAGCGTGCTTGCACGGGAGTAGTCTTGGGATGGGTGACCCCCTGGGAAGTTTCTCAGGGCGCGCACGAGTGAGGACAAAGTGCGCGGAAAAGGCTAGTGGCGGTTTGTGAGGACAGTATTAGAGGTCTGGAGAGTTCAGAAGTAACTACCTCGGGTCCTTCGGGGCCGGGGTGTTACAGGTGTTATCAGAGCAACCCTGCGACAGTGTGTTGACCCGTTGGATATCGGGCGGACACTTAGCGGGGGAGGATTCTGGGATTTGATTGAGATTTGAGATTGGTTTATGGGCGCAACGAGGACGTTGCGTTCCTAAGTGGGGGTGATTGTAATACTTGAGATTTAATTCAAACGGATTAATAGTACTACTCATACCAACAAGATGCATCTCCTTTTAAGGGAGCTCATCACCTAAGAACTCCAAAGTTAAGTGTGCTTGCACGGGAGTAGTCTTGGGATGGGTGACCCCCTGGGAAGTTTCTCAGGGCGAGCACGAGTGAGGACAAAGTGCGCAGAAAAGGCTAATGGCGGTTTGTGAGGACAGTACTAGAGGTTAGAAGTAACTACCTCGGGGCCTACGGGGTCGGGGTGTTACACCTAGATCCTGGTTCCACAAACTGACCTCAACCCTTTACAATGTTGGATTCAAGCAAAGCAAGTGTGATCCTTCTTTACTTCTGTTTACATCTTTTGGCATTCTAATATACATTCTTATCTAAATTGATGACATACTTGTCATTGGCAACAACTCTTCAGCTATTCACACTCTCATCAGCAAATTAAACTCCTCCTTCTCTCTTAAAAACCTGGGAGACATTGATTTCTTTTTAGGAATCCAAGTCCAGAAGCTTCAAGATGGAAGCCTACATCTTTCTCAAGCAAAGTATGTCAAAGATTTACTGCATCAAGCTGGAATGATGCAGTTAATAAGGTCTGTCAGTTCATGGTTGCACCTCTGCAAGATCATTGGAAAGCAGTTAAGCACATACTAAGCTATATGTCTGGCACAATTACACATGGAATTCTCATCAAACTCATTCCTTTATCTACCATGTCTTTACCCATTTCAGCATTCTATGATGCTGACTGGACCTCTGATCCCACTGACAAAAAATCCACATCAGGATCTTGTACCTTTCTTGGTCCCAATATCATTTTCCGGTGGTCCAAGAAACAATTACGTGTTGCCAGATCCTCAGCAGAAGCTGAGTACAGAAGCATGGCTGATACAGCAGCTGAACTTCTATGGGTTCAATTTCTACTCCATGAACTTAAGGTTCCCTTTACAGTTCCAAAAATATATTGTGACAATCAAAGCACAGTTCAGCTTGCTCACAACCCTGTTTTACACTCTCGCATTAAGCATATGGAGATTGATCTATTTTTTGTCAGAGAGAAAGTGTTTCACATTCCTGTTCAACATCAACTGGCTGATATTCTAACAAAACCTTTGGCTGCTTCATCCTTCATTGATTTAAGAACCAAACTTAGTGTGATTGCATCTCCAGCAAAATCACCCTAAGTTTGAGGGGGGAATGTTAGATATACTATACGAATTGTATTAGTATAAGTCAGTTGTACTCCAGTTAGTTAGTTAGTTCAGTTGAGCTATAGCTTTCTATAAATACTCTCTGTACTCTTCATTACGGTCAATGAGAATAATCCTTCTTCCTCATTCTCTCTATCTTAAATTATATTAGTATATGACGGCGTTCTATAGTTAAGTAACAGTAAATGTTGTTAATGAATAATCTCGTTGTTAATAGTTATCCATCATGGATCAATAACCAGGATCAATAACACAATCCATATTCAATACACCCCCTAAGTCTCCATCTCATTGATGTATCATCTTTTTATTGTTCATCTTAGTGTTTTAATATTCTTAAAATCAAACAAACTTATGAAACCCTTTTGTTACAATGTCTCATAAGAAAAATATTTTTCCTGTGAATAGGAAATCTACTACGCTATACTACAATACTAGTACTAGTCGCAAAATTATTTTGAGGCACAAGCGACTTTAGTGTCATCAGTTTCAGAAGTATGTAAGCAAGCAAGCACAGATGCACGCAAGTAAAGTAAATCTCTTATTTTGGTTGGTTCTAAAGGATGTATACAATATACACGAACACAAAACTCCAATAAGAGTTTGTTTCATGATAAATCAGATTAAACATCATGCAATAAAATGAAAAGAATTAAAAGTAAGCAACAATAATGTGGCAAACTGAAGCTGTCAATATTCACGGGGGTTAAATTTGTTTAGGTTGGCACCTGATCTAGCTTTTGATCTGGTTCAGATGAATCAACAGATTTTGGCACAGCTTTCACTAGAGTCGAATAATAAATCTTATCACCAGTCCTTTTGGACTTATCTGCACTTGTGACTTCCACCTCATCAATATAAGCAACACGAAGTGATGGGTACCTGCCAAATAGCGCAAGGCAATTACCATATGGAGCATGACTATAGCACAAAAAATGAAAACAAAACAAGTTAAGGGGCATACTTTATCATAAGTCTCAAAATATCTTGAGCTTTATCACGTTCATTTCTTTTCTGAATGCCATATTGTTGGCATGAAACAACATAAGTGAATTTCATGTCTGAAACTGCTTGACATTGGGGCATTAAAGATCTTTCGTTTCGTATCTGTTCGTCATTATTAGACTCAGCAGCCTTATAGCCTTTCATTAACACTGGAAAGCCAAAAACTACAATGTTTGAATAGAGCTCAATGGTTTAAAAGTATGAAAATGAATCAGCTAAACGTAAACAACCTTCGTCTTTTGCCATGTCGAGAAATGCTTGAAGTTCAAATGCTTGACGATAGTACATCATACCTCGAACTTTTTTTAAAGGACGAGTTCAAATTGAAAAGGAAGTGTAGTTAGAAGTCAAATTATGCTGCTGCAATGCTGCTAAAGGTAAACATAAGAAAGAAGAATCAGTTACCAGTTCTTGTCAATGTCTGGCCTCTGTATGATGCCCATAGACGAAGCTCTTCTTCCGACTTTGCATTGCCCATTAGGTCTTCTTCTTCACTGCCACAGTCAACCCGCTCAAGGAAGTTCTGCCACTCATCTGTATAAGTCTTTCAATATGAACTGGGACTGCAACTATGGCATTGGCATACTACTATTATTGATCTTCAGAAACAAACTAACCAGGGTATATCTTTTGCAAATAAAAGAGTATAGAAACACCATCTTCATTTGGCTTTTGCAGCGAGTCCATAGTGAAAAGAACCTCCTCGTTATAGTAAGGAGTCAACACACTACAAAAGACAAACAAAAGTAAGGAAATGCATGCGTACATACGCATATGCGAGCATTCACACATGTTCATATATACTATGTATATTATATATAGATTGCAAATTTACAATCCATATTTGGCATAAAAGATCTTTCATAGACTCTCCTTAAACGTTAGACCGTGAATTTAAAACTTTAAACTCAATCATGAGTACTAACCTATAAACTTGAGCATTGAACTAATTGAAGTTTAACCTTGGGAACTTCTTGAAGTTGAAACTTGACTTTAACTTGAATTTAAATGAAAAGAACTTGCTTGAGCTCGACTTTATTTATACATGGACATGCATATTTAGGCCAACCCTACTACCATTCAACAACAACAACAACATCCAAGTCGTATTCCCAAAAGATTTTGAGGTAATCGATCCATAATATCGGAGACAAAAAGAAGAGAAAGATGGGAGAAATAAAAAGAAGATAATGTTATAAAAATAAAGCTAATTACTCCCTCCCATGGTTTAAAAAGGAGCTTAAGAGGCGGGTTTTGAGGCGCGTCTCAAGGTGAGGCGTACCGGTTGGGTATCAGGGCTTAGTTTTTTCGCAGGTTAAGAGGCTCACACGATCACACCTCACAGGTTGAGGCCTATGCTTCGAGGTGTGCACTGAGGCAATTTTTTTGGTTATCTTTTTATTAATGTACACTTGTGCAGTAACTTAAAAAAGGCCCAAATATTTCATTACATAAAAAGCCCAGAGTACTTTTTAAATGGAAGTCCATATATTAAACATGTGGCCACACTAAACCCTAAGAAGTCTTATTTCATTTACATCCTAGCAAGTCTTTTATTTATTTAAACCCCAAGTCCCTAATGTATACTTTCTATTCACCTGCGCAAAGAACCCTCCTTTCTCCTGCATAGTCGACATCTTCGTACAACAGTGCAAAAACTTCCAGGTATCTACTCTTCTCCTCTCTTCTTCTTCATCCCCTTCTCTTGCTCCTCCTATTCTTCTTCAACTACTCTCCTTTACTTCTTCTCCTTCACTGTTTCTTATCCTTCTTTTACAGAACTATTGTTCATGTTTTCTAATTCATAAAGGTTTTACTTTGCTTCCTTGATAGTCGTGTTATTTATGATACTTTTGTGTAGATGTAGTTTAATGGTGAGAGGTTCAAAGAAAAGATGTCATGGTGCTACTGCTACACCTAGTAGTTCTAAAGGCCTTGGTATTGCTATTTGCTACGGGAGCTACTAGGAACAGAAGAGATCCTGCTTGGTAACATAGTGTTGAAGTAAACATCCCTGGAGAAAAGAACTATAAATACCTACAGCACAACTATTGTGAAAGAACTATCACAGGAGGTGTAAAGAGGATGAAAGATCATCTTGCTTGTACCAGAAAGAATGTTGCTCCTTGTAAAGAAGTGCCTAATAACATTAAAAAACAATTTCAAGAGCATTTGAATAAAGGAGCTGCAAAAAAAAAAGAATTGGCACAACAAGAATTTGAAGAGTGTGCTGCAGTAGGTTCATTCTTACTTTGGCAGTGGGATGGAGGGGGAGGATCAAGCGAACGATGATACTCTTCCAACAAGGGGTGTTCGTGGGCCTTTAGACAGAGAGTTGCGCAAACGAGTTTGTATGGACATTGACAGGTTCTACTTTGAAAATGATATTCCCTTTAATGTCGCAAGAAGTCCTTCTTTTAGGGAAAACTATCAAATAAGCCCTCCTACTATACTCAAAACAGCAATTAAGTCCTTGTACTTTAAAATAACCCAATTGAACCCTTCAAATTATAAAAAACACCCAATTAAGTAATTTAGCAAGTCAGCTATAGGTTTTCCGGTCATCCGTCCACGTGGCATTCTTTTTTATTATTTTTAATTCCACGTGGCACTCCATATTTTTCATTTATTAAAAAAATGAAGTCATCCCTTGACCATTCACCAAATCTCAGAAGTTCCCAAATCCATCGCCTGTTACCTCGTCGGAAACTACCTTTCTTGTCCGCCCTAGCAAGTTTAGCCTCCCCACAGGCCAAAACGTAACCGGTGGTTCACATCTACTTCCTCCTCCTGCATCATCACTTAATCAGGACGTCGTCGGCGAAATCTGCCGTGTTATCAACGGAGGTTTAGAGCTCTTCTCAACAGAGCCCGTACAATACACCTCCCTAAAGGACATCCTCTCCCCATCTTCCTGCACAAACTCCACCTTCACTTCTCTGCAATCTTCCACCGCCGCCGACATAAAAAAAATGCACCAACCATCCTTAACTTCGAGTCTTTGACATCCTTAACTCCAGATTCACCTCCTTGTGAGGGTCATATCAAGTACAAATTTTAATAGGAAAACGATTCAAAGCTCTCTCTGCTACTTTGTTCTGTTTTTAGAGGGATATACATATAAGATACATACCCAGTTTGAATGTATTTTCTTAGTGTAAATTCTTGTTACTTTGTTACTGGGATTCGATTTGAAAATATAAAAACTTCCCCGAAATTTAATGGCGTATCCTTCAGATTTACAAGAGATCTTTTCTTTGCTTATCTTTTCAAATTTTTAACTTGTTCTGAGTTTCTATGAAGGAATATGTATGTTCGAATGATAGATGCGACTGCAATTCCACTGATATAAACGAGTAGATCTAACTAGAATAATGATGTGATTGATCAGAAAGTTTATTGAACGGGAAGGAACACCATACAAGCTTGGGACTGTTCGAGAAGCCCACTCTCCAAAGCCAAAGGCCAACAGAATAACAACCTCCCTTATTTAGCTACTCCCACATCTATTTATAGTTAATACTCCCGCAAGGATAAACTACTAATATAGCCCATAACCCTTTCCCTTCTAAAAAAACCTTTCCAGGCCCACTTATTATTATCTATGATAATAGGCCCACTTATTATCTATTCCTAACAATACTCCCCTCCTAAACAACCACTTTGTCCTCAAGGTGGGTGATAGGGAATAGCCATGATCTTCAACTTCCGCTTCATTCTTGCACCTTTCCCCTCCCAGTACTTGACTGGTTTATGGATTAAGATCTTTCATACTTGAATCTTCCTCCTTACTTCTTCTAGCAAGAACCTCAATAGATCCCCTATCTTCAGAACATCAGTACCACTCGGGTGGCTTTGTTCCTGCTGGAATTGAGTTTTACCAATCTGCCCAATCACCAACTGCTCAATCTTCCAATTGCTAACAACTCTTGCCTCATGATATGACTCAAGCTCTTGGATTTCAGTTGCTCCACTCCTTGAAGTTGTAGTATCTGACATGAAGTATTCCCTGGGACTGATAATAACAGCAGGAACATCAATTAACTGATCAACAACCATGGTAGATTCCATTTCAGAGTTGTTAAAGGAAGCTTTCCAACAAGAATCCTGTAATCCAGAATTGATAGGTGCCAACAATGACATGAATGGTGTAGAACCTGCTGCCATTCCGACTATGGATAAAAATCTGGCATAAGGAAATTCTGCAAGATACTTTTTGCCTTTTGAACAGCCTAACTTACAAATGTCATCATCTTTAATCAAACATTTGGAAGAGCCTCTTAGTAGGGCAGTCATAGAAACTGGATTTCTATTATAAATCACCCACTTAGGACCAACCACAAGAGGTCCAAGATAGACTACACCCAATGTATCATCTTTCTTGTCATATGTAGCCTTGATCCCTTTTTCAGTAACTACCATCTGAAACTGATAGGCACAGACTACACCTCCATCTGGAACACATATACAAACTACGGGCTTTTCCTTAACATTTTCCTTATCATTCCCAGTCAATCCTACTCCCAATCCCTTTCGGATATATTTCATAGAATTCATACCATCAAATTTGAAACCCTCAGTCAGCTTCTGCCCTTCCAACATTCCCTTTGATGAAGGATGGTACACAATATCTATTGGGACACATAAATCCAGTTCATGAACTCTACCCATCACATGTTTAAGATATTTTGGGTATTGATCAATTGCACTAACATGCTTTTGAGCTTCATAGGTAAGGTTATCTGATTTGTGAACTTCAGACTCTTCTAGATTATTTGATGAATCAAAGTTTTCTGCCCCTTCTGGTATATCATCCTTTGTCTCCAATTCTTGAACTGAAGGTGTAGACAGTTTCAACTCAACGTTTGTTTCCAGCTGTGGGCCCCCTGAAGATCCTTTTCCTTTTGCGCCTGGAGTTATGGCTTCTGAAACGGCTGATTCCTTTAGGTACGTTGAAACTAGTGCATTAGGAGACGCTGATTGGGCTGAAATAGTTCGTGACTGCGATAAGGAAGCCAGTGAACAGAGAGAACTGGTTCGCATCTGCAAACTGGGAGAAGATATTGACCAGGATACCTGCGAACTGGTAGAAGTTGTTTGCGATGGTGATGAAATCTGCAGACTAATCTGTGAATTGAAACCTCCTGTCGATCTCGTTTCACTTGGAGGAGAAGAAGTTCTCGACTGCGATTGTGAAGACTTCTGTGAACGCGTGAGGGAGTCGACTGTCGATGACGAGATGTAGGAGGAAACAGTAGTTCGCGTAGAAGATTGCGAACTGAGAGAATTCCTTGACGATCACGATCTCTCTCTGGACCGAAGCTGTTCAGTCATCGCGGCCATGGATGCCGCTATGTTTGCCGCCAAATTTTCCATTGCAACACGTTGATCATCCACAGCTGATTGCAATTCCTTCTTCAACTCTGCTTGAATCTCCAATAGTTTTCGCTCCAGATTATCCATGTGAATATCCATTTTAGCTCGCGTTCGGAACATTCACCACTTGAAACAAAAATTTCGCTGAAGTCGCAACTCAATTCTGATCGTCGTTCACCTTCGATTCCCAGGAGCTATGCTCTGATACCAATGATAGATGCGACTGCAATTCCACTGATATAAACGAGTAGATCTAACTAGAATAATGATGTAATTGATCAGAAAGTTTATTGAACGGGAAGGAACACCATACAAGCTCGGGACTGTTCGAGAAGCCCACTCCCCAAAGCCAAAGGCCAACAGAATAACAACCTCCCTTATTTAGCTACTCCCACATCTATTTATAGTTAATACTCCCGTAAGGATAAACTACTAATATAGCCCATAACCCTTTCCCTGCTATTAATATTTCAGGCCCACTTATTATTATCTATGATAATAGGCCCACTTATTATCTATTCCTAACATCGAACAGGGGAAGACGCAAAGGAAATGAGTTAGGCCTGGGATTTTATTAAAAAAATAGAAACAACTTTTTTTGAAGTGACACGTGTGCAGCCAATGATGTAGTAACCGGGAGACTGGTTAACAACCATCTAAATAGCTTAATTGGGTATCTTTTACAAGTTTGAGGGTCTGATTGAGCTATTTTTAAGTGCGAGAGCTTAATCGCCAATTTGGATATACTAGGAGGGCATATTTGACAGTTTTCCCCCTTCTTTTATTAATATATTGCGTTCTGTGGGTGGATATGGTCGGGGACTTGAACCTCTAAGCATGTATGAACTGAGGACTTCGATATTGAAGGAAGAGCAAATACAACTGAGAAGGTAGTCAATGAAATAAATAAAACATGGGCACACTCTGGAGTGACAATCATGTCTGATGGCACAGTTTTCTTGAAAACTGTTGATGCTTCTGAGCACGTCAAAGATGCAAAGCTAATGTGTAAGTTGCTTGATGATATTGTTGAGGAAGTTGGGGAAGAACTTGCAGTCCAAATTGTGACAGACAATGCAAGTAACTACAAGGCATCTGGAAGACTGGTAATGGAGAAAAGACCACATCTATATTGGACTCCATGTGTTGCCCACTGCATTGATTTGATGGTAGAAAAAAATTCAGACCTTACACCACTCGTGTTCTGATCAAAGCAAAAAAAGCTGACCAATTTCATTTATAATCACCCATGGGTTTTAAGCTCGATGAGGAAATTTGTTAACGAGGATGTCATCCGACTAGCTTCTACCAGATTTGCTGCCGCATTTCCAACTTTGCAGAGCATTTATCAAGAGGCAACCATTGGAATCTATGTTTACTTATGGACAATGGATGGACTACAATTGGGCAAAAAGCATGACAGAAAAGAAATGAGGAAAACGGTTCTCAAGGATAACGATTTCTGGACAAGTATGGCCTATGCTATCAAATCCACAAAATCATTGGTAAAAGTGTTGAGGTTAGTTGATTCTGAAAAAGAACCTGCAATGGCTTACCTCTATAATGCTATGGAGGAGGCAAAGGAAAAGACAACAAGGAATTTAGGTGGAGATGTAAATGATTACAAAGAAATATGGGATATTATTGATGAGAAATGGGATTTTCTGAATCCCCGTTGCCATTATGCATTTATGCAGAGAACTTTTCAACTCATCCAGAGGTCGAGCTTGGTTTGTTTAATTGCGTGGAGAGACTCATACCTAAGAGAGAGGACGGGAGAAAGCTGACCCTCAATGCAGCAATTTCCACAATCAAGAAGGTTTTTTTGGCTTTGCTCAAGCAAAGAATACAATTTTTAAGAGAACCCCTGGTACATTTTATAATGTTTCTGTTTATGCACATTTAGTATTAAAATCTGATATTATCTTTTCAAAACTGTACATTTTAGCCTTTTAGTAAATCTGGAGATGACACTTGAGCTTTGTGTCTACAATATAGTTTCTACACACTTAAGCTTTATAGTTGAAGAAATGTTTTTTTTTTCTTTTCAGTTGAATGGTGGATTCAATATGGAGATGGCACTCCTGGCTTCAAACTTTTCCAATAAAAGTGTTAGGTCTTACTTCATCATCCGGCTGTGAGCGAAATTGGAGTACTTTCAATCAAGTACACACCAAGAGAAGAAATCGCATGACAACAATTAGGATGAACTCTTTTGTGTATATAATGTTTAACACAAAACTTAAAAATCGACACCTTAAACTGGGATCCCTAACCAATGATGAGGAAAATCTGTTGGTTGATGAGTTGCCTTTTGATGATGAATGGCTTGTCGGTGAAAATAGTGCTGAACCAAACACATTTAGGGATGACCTTGATGTCCTTGATGTTGATCTTTTTGGAGGTCAACCATCACAGGAAGCTCAAACAAAAGAAAGATCAAGCAACCCGATGGATAACTAAGGAAATAATATGAAAAGTAAACAAGTAGTGGAGGCAAATGATGATGAAGAGGAAGAATGGGATGATTTTGATAGTGATGATGGAAGGGATGATGGTGAGAAGGCCATAAGATATGATGATTCTTCCGAAGAGCTTTCGTGTCATGATGATTATTAAGCTTGAGCCTTCAAGATTTTTAAACAATGTCAATTCTGTGATGTGTCTGGTTGTCTATGATGTTTCAGTTTGTGTGTGATGTTTCTTTGTGTTTGTGAGACTGTGATATGTCTGTTTGTGTGTGATGTTTCTGTTTGTGTGTTTGATTTCTACTGACTTACTGGCAATAGCTCATATGTGTTTGTGTTTCACACTTTTTGGACTTATAATTATGGATACACACACACATATATAGAGGAATGATCGTGTCCAGCCGGATGAACAGGACCCTCCGTCCAGCCGCCTCCTTTTAGGGTGGTTCCCGGTGGAATTTTTTAAGCATGTTCTTCATGAAGTGTAGATTATGCACAAAAAAATTCAGCTTAAAATTCAATCAGGAAGTCAGTTAAATAAATTATTGAAACATACTGCGCCGAACTAGACATATAAAAGTGCAGTGTTTTTTAATGATTTATTAAACTGCCTTTCCAATTGAATTTTAAGCTAAAATTTGGTGGACATAATCTACACTTCATGAAGAACATGCTCAAAAAAATTCATTACAAATTTCCACCGGGAACTGCCCCAAAAGGCGGCGGCCTGACGGAGAATCCTGTCCATGGACAGGATCTTATCCGTCTGTGTGTGTGTATATATCCTTTATTTATTTAGTTGTTTGTTACTAGTTTAACTATTTTAAGTTTTTATATGTCTGTATATTTTGAGGCTCACGCCTCGCCTCTTAGGAATAAGCTGCCTTGATACCCGAACCTACCTTTTTAAACCTTACTCCTTCCGTTCCATTTTGGTTGTCTTACTTTTCTTTTTGGGTTGTCCCAAAATGAATGTCATGTTTTCCTTTTTGGCAAGAAATATGTGGTTCACACCATTTCAGTATATTCTACTCAAATCTCAACCACAACTTTTCTTTTCAACCACTTTATTAATAATTTTGCCAAACTAAACGAAGACATTCATTATGGGACGGGGGTACTATAAGATAAAAGAACACAAGAAAGATAAAATATAAAAAAACATATGAACATAAAAAGATATAGATATAAAGATGCTCCCTCCGTCCCACGAGATTATTCTCACTTACCTTTTTGGATATCCCAAAAAATTCTTCTCATTTCCCTTTTGGAAAGTTTTGTGTGGCTAACATTCATTTACCTTTTTTTACTCAACCACAACCATACATTTCCACCTTATTCCCACTTTCTTAAAGTCCTATCCAAGTTAAACCGGGAAGAAATTTATGGGACGGAGGGAGTAAGAGAGAGAGAGCAGAAATCCATCCCCCACTACCATTAGGTTATTAAATTAAATTTAATCGAAACCTGAGGATAGAGGTAAGGTCTGCATACATCTTACTCTCCTCAAACTGGATTTGTTTGCATTGGATTGGTTTGGTTTATACTTAAACAAAAATACTTGGATTTAACTTCGATTTGATCTCAAACTTGAGCTTCGATTTAATCTTGAACTTGATACTCTGAAATTAGATGAACTTTGAACCAAAATGTCACAGCACATATTATGGTGCCCACCATAGTGATACTACTATGCAAAGGCAGTAGGGAAATTAATGGAATGTCGAAATCTGACCGCTAGGAATGTGAACATAGAAACGGAAGGAAAATAATATTCTGCACATGTACTGCTTGCCTACTGTTTTCTAAGGAAGAAAAACATATTCCAGTGTGTTTATGATGCCATCTGAGAATTGAAGCAAATTGTACTCAACTTTGCTTCAGAACTCAAATGAGGCTCGCAGTAATTCCAAATATATATAGACAGCTAGGGCCTTTTGGAGATACCCTGAGCTGACTTAGTCATCATTAAATACAGGTTGTAAACAATGATAGGCTTATAACTACTCAACAATATACAGCCATAAACACTTCAACAGAAACATAAACACGCTAAAACATAACAGGGTTGAAGAATACTCACGAGAAAGAAAGCATATTGCGAACTTTAGGAGCTCGGGGCATGTCCATAAACAACGAATTTGAGAAGAATGAAATGCGCCTTCTAGCTTCCAAGTTGGTCGGAACATCCATAGCCGACTCCTTTACTGTTAGCAATAAATGAAGCCTGCCAATCTAAGAAATTAAGAAAACTTATTTCAATTGAAAATCAGTATGAAACAATGACCCTTCTTTGATGATAAATAGTAATAAGAAGTAGATAATATTATTGTACAAAACAAAAAGGACGATCATATTGTTTCATCCCCTTTTCATTTCTAAATCAAAATGGATAATATTGAGCTCGAAACTAAGTACCTAAGCTAATATATTGGCTTGGTCATTGAGTTTAGTTTTTTCTCACTTGTCAAAATGATTTGAAAATATAGTACTGCCTCCACCCCATTAAGTTTGGGACAAATAATAAGAAAAGGAGATTGTGTGGTTAGTATTAAGCTTATGAAACTAAAAATGACCATGCCACATAATATGGCCAATTTATTATGGGACAAACATTTTAGGACGGCCTAAAAAGGAAAGATGTGACAAACAAAATGGGTCGGATGGAGTAATAGCTTACTTTTTCCTTCCATGCCTCAGTATCCTCAGTAATAGGGAACTTTAGGATGCGAAAGAACTGGTTATGTTGACTTATAGAGGTCAGTTCTTCATGCCCAAAACCACCATGGCTGGATTCCATTAAGCTATGGAAAATTGGAAGGATAATGATCATACAAAAAATGAGCCAAACAAAGAGACATGATGAAACAAATTCTTCAGCACATTTTACCTTGGAACACTATCTTCCATTATATCTCGGGTTACAATTTCTAACATATCGAGCAAAACAATAACTAGCTGATCCTTCTTCTTCTGGTCATTTTCTTGCTGTGGAATTTTACACAAAGGTAAGACTCTTGAGCAAGCAGAGAAACCTAATTTTTCTGTTAAATACTTAAATTTACAATCATGACAGCAACTTTTTTATGCAAGGAGTATAAATTACAACCAATTAACTAATGAATACAAGGCAATCATTAAACAATTAACAATGATCTGCAATAATGCTCCAAAAGAAACTGGGACAAAATGACATTAGGGGGCATCATGCTTTGCTATTTGACCATCCACAATCACCACATCCGAGTATAAAAAACTTTACCAAAATTTTAATAAGCTCCACGAACTTCCTGTAGAGGATAGGAAGACCACTCATGTTGAATTCTTTTATCAAGTCACCTTGCTCAATATGATGATCAACTTTGGAGAAAATTTCACTCATGACACTGCGAATAATTGATAAAGGATAAGAAATCCACTCAAGCAAATGATGTTTATGCAGAATATATTTATCTGATCTTGTATGTAGAAATTCGCAAGGAATTTTCTATAATCATTATGATATCTTCCAAAAATGGAAAATGTGGGCAATATAGTATCAACCATTTGTGGGGGAAAAAGTGGTTTGCCATATTAGCCTATTCACTTTTTGTTTTGGACTGCACAGATGCCACATTTTAGAGATCCCCACACATATATATGCTTGGATAGAAATTATTTATGTGTAGTACTTACTTTTTTTCCTTTTCGCCTAAAACTAAATTATTAATGATGCTTTTACATGAAGCATAGCACTCGCGAATTGCACTGCGCATGTAGGCATCATCATTTAATCTTTTCATCAGCTCGTGATCTCTTCGATTGCTATTTTCAGCCATATCCACTGCAATGGGAAGCTAAACAGCAGGCATGTAAACTATGCTCAGTTGAGAAAGCTTATAGAAATAATAATTAAGGAAGGTTGATAAACGAAGGTCGGAAGGTGTTAATAAGATGTAGCAAAATACCTTGCTTGCTAGTAAAAATGGAGGCCATTGAACTAGGTCTTCCAAGTCCCTGTCTGCTGAGTAGGGCACAAGCAATAGATTCATTTCTCTGCCACAGAAAATCAAATCTCAGATGTACAAAAGGATGTGAAGGCAGAAAGGAAAAAGGTAAAGAATATGGAGTGGTTTTAAAGTAAGACAACGTGAAAGTGAAAAGACGGTTGAAAGTTGTAAAAACAAATTATGCACCCTTGCTCCCATAGGAGCTATGTGCACTACCTATTATTTATCAGATCCTCATCTCTAAAGCTCTCAATTATCTTGTTCCACAACTGAGCAAATCTTGCAGCTTCATTCGTACCGATGCTAGTTTCCTGAAAGAACCACCCAAAGAGCCCAATATGAGACCTGGCACCCAAGGAAGCTGGACAATTAATTCAACGATTTTGAGAATCTGTTTAACCTTATCAAACTTTCGAGATAATGTTGCCTTTAGTCCCTTTTTTGCATTTTCTTTATTTTCCTTTGGAATCAATCGGGCATTAAAAGCTGCTGGTAGTGATTGAAACCGAAACCGAAGCATTCCTAATGTTCGGATCTGAAACCAGGAATGGAAGTATTAATTAATCCTCAGTTCAAAATGAAAGAGAACTGAACTCGTGAAATTCTAAAAAGTGCAACACATGGAGTGAAATGGTTATCCAATGACAGAATCATTTAAGTAAAGATAATCTGGTACTTTTCACATTATTGAATTGCATTTCCAAAAGAATAAGATAGATTGGAAGTAATAATTCATCCTCAGTTCAAAATGAAAGAGAACTGAACCCATGAAATTCTAAAAAGTGCAACACATGAAGTGAAATGGTTATCCAATGAAGGAATCATTCAAGTAAAGATAATCTGGTATTTTTGACATTATATAATTACATTTCCAAAAAGAATCAGAAAGACAGACAGATAGCATACAACATAGCAACATAAGCCAACATACTACTTATATGAGGTTCTTCTACTGCTTAAAGTCTAAACTCAGAGAAGTTATTAATATGCGAGTAAATAGGACAAGGGAAAGATCCGCCAACCTCTCCTAGACGGCGAAATGCGCCATATATACCTCCAAATATTGTAGAGAAAATCGCATACCAAATTTGTGTATCCATGAAGTAGACCTGTACACAATCTTTTGTTCAAAGATACGATGATTAAGAAAAATGAAGAAATCGCATAAATGAGATGGCACATACAAGAACAATAGGAGTCCATAGTGCAATCACAACCCCGATGTTTTTGTTTGCTGAAAAAAAAATCATGCTTAATATAATATTTTCACTTTAAGAAACAAATAAAGAAGAAGATGAGACTGATTACCATGAGGGAAGAACTCATGCCACTGGTACCTATGTATCGGAACCATCATGATTTGTTTTGTTGGACGTACAAGAGGCCTTATCTGCAAAAATATAATATTAAAGGCATGCAGTAACATGACACTGATTGTTTAAGGGCCTCCATACATCACCTAAATATGAAATAACGAATCAACATATAAAACATTTGGTAACTCCCCCTATCACATTGATCTTTTAATACTCCCTCCGTCCCCAATTAAGTTCCCGGTTTGACTTCACACATATTAAGAAAATAAATTTGATTTTACTGTGGAGTGCACGTTTTGCACTGTTCAAACACTGTTTGGACACTGTTTGACACTGTTTGACACTGTTTTGCACTGTTTGACACTGTTTTGATGTAGATAATTTGCCAAATAAGGAAAGTAAGGAAGTGTGAACTTAATTTAGGGACTGCACAAAAAGGAAAGTGGTAACTTAATTGCGGGACGGAGGGAGTATAAAACTTCAAGTCTTATAATGGCATCACATTGATGACATGTAGCCATGATGTGGCCCTCTATGAAAAAATGCATAGTACAAGAAAGGTAAATTGTCGTGAAAGTGTGTTGAAAAAATTGTCGCATAGATGAAATAAACAAATCATCATAGATGAAAATCCAAGTACATTTTAGGATGACTATTCCAATTCTTAACATTAACAAATAAAATAACTATATTGCAAGTTTGTAACAACATCAGCTGTAGATTGATTGCACCAGAACCTTCTTCAAATGAGATTGACCGAATATAGTATTTTATTGTCAACACTAAGTAATTTAAATTAGAAAAGTTGTAATAATTTTAACTCCATGTAAATAATCATTATTACCAATCCCGTTAGCTTTGTCTGTGTGAATTATTTCATCATCATGCATCTTAATCCGAAGTCCCAACTATGCTTGATCACGAGACACATAATTGATAGTTCAATTGATTTTCTAAAACAAGTTAACATTACAAATTCATGGAAAAAGCATAGTATCAAAGTTTAATTTTGCAACCTTCTTATGAAGTCATTTTGAGGGAAATTCCAAAAACACCATCATCATAGGTTCATTCTACTGGCACGGAAAATATGAGTGTTATATGGATTCTGTCTCTAGTAAAACTTATTCATCACTAACTTCAATATGACCCATTACGCTGGAACGCCTTCTGAATAACTTAGCTCTACATAAGTTTTTGTTTAACTCTTCCACTCATATCTCCTACTTCTACCATGTAATCAGCCACTCAGAACATATGCATCCATTAATCTCTGTTTGACATCTCCATACCAAGTTACCAACTATATCAGTTTTTATCAAAAAGTCTTTCACAAGTGCCATTTGCATCCCCGTGCTAAAAATGGAACTTCTCATACGGTCTTGTCCCTTTTAATGCATATAAAGAACTTGACTTATGGGCATCTTCATGCTAAGCAAATGCTATTTCTCCTTATGGTCTCTTTTAATGCATATAAAGAATTTCACTTATTTGTGCATCAAGAAAGAATGATGCTAAAAACATTTAGGGAGAATTCCCCAAATAGGACTAAATGAAACTTTAATTGCCAAAATAGGACCATAACTTAAAAATTCCCAAAATAGGACTAGCTTTCCAATTCTACCCTTGCTTTGTTTTAACACAGTTCATATTTCATTAATAATTAAAATACAAAAGTAATAATCACATAACTTTATTTATAAATAATGTAAAAAAAAAATAAGAAACACGAATAAAGTATTTAATAAAATTAATAAAATTAAAAAAAATGAAAAAAATATAAAATTAAATATTAAAAAATTAAAATAAAATATATAAAAATATGCAGGCCTATGCTGCCACCTCAGAAACGTCCCCGCACCTCCAGCTCCGATCACCTCAGAAATGACATCTTGATGTCATTTTTTGAGAAAATTTTGACATTTTCAAAGAACAAAAAATGGCAGAAATTTTGCCATCTTGATGGCATTTTCAGAGAAAAAATGGCAGTTTTTACACAAAATGGCATTTTTTTAGCTGATCAGAGGTAACTTGGCTGGGCAGTGGCCGAGACTGTGGGAAAGGCCTCCATATTTTTTTAAAGGTGTTTTATCTCTTTTTTATTTATTTTTAAAGTTTTTTATTTTTAAAAAAATTTAATTTTCTTTTAATTTTTATTAATGTATAATTTTTTTATAATTTTTTATAAGTTAAATTATTTATTATTATTTTTTGTTATTTATTACAAATTAAAATATGATTATCCTATTAAGTTATGGTAAGGATATAATAGGAAGATCGGGTATACTCTAGTCCTATTTTGGGATGATAAATAACATAGTCCTATTTGAGCATTTAGGGATTAGTTTAGTCCTATTTAGGGCTATTATCTCAAACATTTACTGCATTTTTTATTGGGACTAATATTTATCATGCTTGATCAATCAACCACATCATAAGATTCTCACATAATACTTCCACCAATCATGAAACATGGGAAGGAGTGAGAGTTTCACCTCAACAAAGTAACTGAATGCCAACTTTGATGCCATGAGAAGAACCCAGAACATTGTGTATCTGAAAAGTGTTTGCAAAACAATGAACTAAAATAATCATACGAGCCAACGGCTCATTTCAATTAGAATTCACCATAGTAGCATAAATTACTTGAAAAGAGAAAAAGTGTCATCATGCATTCCCCTTCCAACATAAAGCCGAGGCTGCGTTACAAATGCATTAGAAAGAGAGAAAGAAAGAAAGAAAGAAAGAAAGAAAGAAAGAAAGAAAGCATAACCAATTATGAGGGAGGAAACAGAAGGGTCAGAATCAAGTAATGGCATTTCAAAAAATATGTAAAGATGACTCTACCTGGGACCACCACATCACAAGCCTAGCAATCTTAAACTCTGATCTCTCAAGGTTACGTCTCAAAAAAGGGAATAGAAACAGCAATGCTGACAGCATGTTTGGGGATAAGTAACACAGAATTGCTATGAAGAACAAAGAAGGCGAACTTCGACTATTGCCAAACCAACTTTTAATTGTTTGTGCAAATGAAGGAGGATTTTTCCAACTATATGCATAAGTTACTGGCAAGATTATGACCCATGCAGCTGCAGAGACAGCCTTTAGAATGTATCTTAGCTTGACATAGATTGGCATGCTTTGCCTTGCTTTCCAACTCATGACTACATCAATGATAGCTGCGAGAGCAAAATCCACACATGGTGGTGTAAAAGTAATCAGTATCCATTCGCATTAGGCTACACAAAACAAGATGAGAAGAGCCAGGTCAGTTAAGAGTAAGATTACCTTGAGCTAGTTTTAATGCTGAAGCTGTTATAAAAATGCTCAACACTTTCTTGAACACTTCTCCCTCAAATATAGAGCTTGGTGCACCAGATCCATTCCATGCAACAATAATCATTGCCTTGAGCAAGAATTTAATGTACAACATGAAAATTTGCACGTATGACAAACTGGGCAGGGTCACAGGGATAAACATTGTTTAAGCAAATTATGTTGGGGTAAAGGAAAAATCACAAACAAATGAAGGGCAACCTGCAAAGAAAGAATGAAGAAGCCCCACATTCTATCAAAACTTCTAAAAATGTTCCAAAATGAGCGTATCTCAACGAAGTTCATTTTGCCCATCCATCTTCTCTTAACTGGTTCGGCTACCTGATTATAATCAACATGGGAACATTACTGGAAGTGCATGATGACAGGTGAACCTATAAAACTATTATCGAGGTTGTGGTTAGCCCTTAAACCATCACTGTAAGGTTATCGGTAAACCCGTAAAACAAATGTTGCAATGTTCTTGTTTAGCCCGGAAAACCAAAGGGAGGATACCTTAGGTAGTGGAGTAGGAACTTCCTCACTGATGTAATTCACAGTCTCATTATTTATTTTATTCACGGTTATTCAATCTGTGTTACTATTTCCACTATCACCTAGGAATTGCAAAAACTGTAATTAATTAAAGGGGACCGCTTAGAACTAGTTTGGCATGCCTTTTAAAAGCCTAATTCACCCTCACTTATGCTCATAAGGGACTTCCATAACTATACAATAAACCCCTTAGTTTTTTATATAAAAACTAAATAACGCGTTTATTATATAGTTTTAAATAAAACCTTAATTGAAGGGATAATAAAATAATTCTTTTGATCTATTTGATTACCTAATATATTTAAGGATCATCCAAATCTTGACATCTTTGACAATCATGAATTGGGTTTTGGTATGGTTCACTAATAGGGTACATATAGACCTTACAAAACCAGCTACACTCAGTTGACTAGAAAGAAGGAAACTGGTACACACACAATGCATATTAAATCATGAGAGTAGATGATCTTACTTACCTGATCTCGTAATTTTTCAATAGGAAGGCTGAAGAAATCAGAATCAAGACGCATTGGCCAGCCTAATCTGAAGCAATTCTCCGACCTGCATAACTATGCTAAATTTTAATCTGCTATATGTGTTTTGGAAGGTAGGTCAAATCAAAATATCGGTTAAAGATAAGAAGAAAGTACTACCAAAAGTACTCATTCAAATCATCATAATTCCTCCACTGTGAATGCTTTGATTTTCCTTGCCCGCTTTTCTTAGCTTCCTTAGAGATTAAAAGGGGAAAAAACTTACGATCAGGAATATGTTTTCATGCAATTTCTAATAAATCATTAAAATGTTTCTCTATAATAAGGCAGGGCCCTCAAATCATAAATCATACTACCTCCGTTCTTAAATAAATGCAACACTTTGACTTTTACACTATTCACATGTTCTACTTTGACTACGTTTTATTTATTAATGTAATAATATTATTTTATGAAAAAATATTGTTAAACTTGTCTCATTGTAAATTTTCATAATCTAATTTTTTTAATTTTTTTACTAATACAAAATCATTTATATTAATGGTCAAAGTTGTGTCTCGGCAAGTGTGAAATGTTGACCGTTGGATTTATTTAAGAACGGAGGAAGTACATAGTAGTAAACTATAATCAAGAGAAGAAACAAAGGATATATGTCTTCCTCATCCTAAGAGAAGAAAGAAGTTTGACTCTTTCACAATCAATGTTGTGTCCCATATCATCAAAAGATAAAGCCATTGGCCAATATGTAACCAAGTGCTCAAGGTGTAGTTGTATAATATTTGAATGAACCGAAGGCAGCCGGTGGCCCAGTTTGAAACACTTTAGGAAGCAAGTTGAACATAATACCTTCGCTATTGTGTTATAGATAGGAGTGATCACTTTCCTCAAAAAAGCCTCATCTTCACCCCCATAGACAGGTTTCACAGTCTCACCAGTGACAGAGCTAACAGTTCCTGCCAGCATACCATGCAGTTCAAATGCCATCTGCAAAATTGTTACAAATACTGTTTATTATCCCGAAAAGTGAGAACTATGCAGATAAAAAAATTGATAGACTGATAGGAGTGAATATAGGATGGAGTATGATGATAAAAATGAGAACATTTGAGAACAAAAGGCATGCGAATTTGAATAATATATTCCTTAACATATTGAGTAAAATGTTTACCCCTAGAGGTAAAATGACATGGTATGGACATTATTGAACCATACCTTCAAAATGTACATTAGAGCTAACTGATAATTTCTAGTTGATAGAAATGTTAGTGGAGGTCGATATATTTACACGCATATGCTCCTAGATAAAAATCATTGAAATACTAACATTTCTGTTATGAAATTAGCTGTGGCAATAAAGTGGGCAGGAAACAAATCACACTACATAAATATTAAGCAAGAGCATGCCAAAAACGGTAATAATAACTAAAATCATTTCAACTTATGAAAATAGAATAATACATATAAATAAATAGACATATCAAGAATTCAATACATACATAATGATAAATATAGCATAAACATTCTGGCATGAATCTTAAATTTGCAGCTTCCCCCCAAATAAGAAGGTATAGACCCATGTACAGCAACTTCCTTTGCTGCACTTCTTGTTGAATTGTTGGCAACCTGCAATCAAATGGATAGCATGATGGATTAAGATATCATCAATTCTAATTTTTTAAAATATTACATGTCACTGCTGGAAAACTGTACAAAGGATAAGGTTACAGAAGGCAGTAGCCAAAACTTTTCTGCAAGCATGTCGTATGTATAAAAAATGAACAGTTTTTAAGCATGTTTTATGTATGAACATGAAAAATGAACTCACCAGAGACTACTTTTGCGATTAAGGTATTCACACCATCTTTTGTAGTTCTTAAATAGCTTCTTCATGACTTCTGTAAGTGCACGATCATCTAACTAATAATACCGATTAACTGTAAGTCATCAAATATAGGTTGTGTCTCAATATATGCAAAGCTGATTTTAGTGGAATGACCAAACCTTAGGCTGTTGATGATCAGGCTTTGGAAACTGCCTAATATGCACATTTGCCAGCAAAAGAATCAGGTGCTCTCTTTGATTTGCAACATTATCCTTCTGCAAATCCACCAACCGAAATAGATTAATCAAAATTTGTAGTCCATTTAGACAAATATATCTGGATTTACTTGTTTAACCTAGAATGATCTAGCAACAAGCACTAAAATAAACCTGAAAACCAAACATAGCTTGAAGCCAATCCAGAATATCTTCGTCTACTTTCTTCTTATGGCCCTTTGGCCATGGTAGACCCCTTGTATTACGTAGAGAAGCCACAGATGCTTGAATCTGTTGACTCAAAAAAAATCAAAACATGGAAGAAATTGGCATAGCAGGATCAACAACAAAAAGAGACAATGTAAGAGACAACCTCAGGGTATCTCATAATTGCTTGGTTTGAACTATCAGGATCAAGTGGAAGTATATTATAGTGCACCAGTGTCTCTGTCTTTTCAGCCACCTCTGCTTGAACTTCCAAAATCTAGAGATGTAAATCTAAGCATTAAAGTAGAATAATAATTTTAGTGGAACTAGAGAAGTATATTATAGTGCACCAGTGTCTCTGTCTTTTCTAGTGGAACTTTTCTAGTTTTATGGGAAAACAGGACAGCAGAATAATAATAATAATAAAGCAGAAAACCTGTTTACTTCACCTGTTTTAATTTTTGAGAATGATGAAAATTTCGTTAATGTATATTCATCTTTTTTATATTATCTTTTCATAATAGCTTATCTTTTTATCTTTTTTCCTTCTTTTCCTTTTGGTTGTGATATCATGTATCGATTCATGTTAGCCGACCCCAATATCTTTTGGGACTAAGGCTTGGATGTTGTTGTTTTTGTTGTTGATGAAAATTTCGTTAATGTAATCTAGACTAAAGTAGATGTGCAAATGGTAAGGTAGAAAAGCACAGTGCCACTTCGCGATCCATCAACAGCTGGATAAATTTGAGAAACGACTACTGGTATTTGGTAAATATGTCTGGAGATAGAAAGTAGAAATTTGGTGGGAGGTAAACTGAGCCTAATCTTCATAAAATTAATCAAGGCCATCAATTCACAATGAGAGAATTCAATCTCCACCTCATCAGCCACTTCAACAGATTCCGTCAGATTTACAGCCTTCAAGACCTCAAAAAGCACAGCAGCAGTTTGGTATGCCTTTGTAAGCCTCACACTATATGATGGCATGCACCAAAGAAAGGAAATCAAGCGAAAAGTTAATGCCCCTAGGTTCATCATGTGAAAATCCAACAGAAGAGTAAATTACAAGGTCTTGATACCCAAAGAGTTATTACCGATCAGCTTTATCAGCTGCATTCTGTAGAGCTTGAATATACTTCCTGTAGTAATGTTGATAAAAGCTCTGCATTTCACGAGCATCACGTTTTGTCCTTCCTGCTAAAGTTGATTCATTTTCCTGGATAAATTTGGTTTCTGGTCATTCACTTTCTAGAAATGCTTACCCATAAATAATTATCACATAATGTACTGTGCTAACTCAATTGAATTAAAAAAAATACCTGTCAGATTTAAAAGAAAATTATACATATTCATATACTACCTTTTCAAGAACCTAAGCCTTTGCTGAACTCAACATTCATATAGACCAGGGTAGAACATGAGGTTTGAAAATACAGCAACGGGAAGGGAGTAGTAATTGCAGGAAAATAAAAAGAATTTACCCGTTCCAGCCTCTGAAGAAGGGCAGTTTTAAATTGGCGAACTCCACGCCCACTCGATGTTGGATCCAACCCATGAGCTTTCTCAAAAGCATAGAACCTACCTGAGTTCAAAGTCAAGAGAGGAAACGTAAATCAAAATGACAAACCATCATGACTTATGTAAAATCCTAAAACAAGAGAGGGCCAAAATAATTTCTCCTCACCCCAGCATGATATAGTAAATCAAATAAATGTTCCCAGGTGGAAGAAAAGGAATGTGAAACTGCTGGCGTAAAGTCCAACTGACTAAGAAAGTTAAATGCAGATGCACATAATCACTCATTTAACATGCATGTGAGCATTAGATTTTGTGGGAAAGAAATATGATATTGCATTAAAGTTTCTGTCATGGATACTAACTAAGTTACTTATTCAGGAGTACTCGAGGAGTACCCAGTGAGTACTCGCTACTCGAACCTAGAGTACACTACTTAAGCCTCCCTTGTCAATACTACGTACAATTTACATAACCAAGTTACACGATGAGTACTCAACAATTTCCTTGACTCAGTGACTCATTTTACTCACCGAGTTACTAAACAATGCCTAAGAGCCCGTATGGTGGGGGCAAATTTGGATTAAATGGCTTAATGAGGAAAGTGTCTCATATTGTGGCTGAATGTGCTGATTGGACTGAAAAATCTAATAATGCATTATTGTTTTTAAAATTTAAGGGAAACAATATATAATAGGTGAGCATAGAGGTATCTAGACTTTAGCTATTTAAAAAGAAAATAACGTTTGCACTTTTTTATTAGCATTTAGCAGCAGATTCAGCTATCATAATCAAATAAATTACTTCCTTATAATTAAGCAGAAATTTTGATTCACATGGCTGATGAGACAAAAAAACAAAAGGTTTCACAAAACTGAGCCCATGATAGACTAAAAATTACTCCGTACTTGTATATATATAATTAAAAAGAGGTATAGTAGCACAACAACTCACATAAGTAAGCAACCCTTGGATTGCTGGGCTCGACCTCATTAGCAACACGTAGAATTGGGGCAATTTCAACCAGAGATGATGGAACTACTTCACTGTCCATCATCGACTCCCCCAGGTTTCCCGCAGTCTGCGTCCGCGTGATCCGCGGTTGCTGATCGGGACCCCTTCGTTGGTAGGCCATTTCCCCTCACAAATACACCTCCAAGACAAGTATTCCAAGCTTTGCGCCTATCAAGACTCGTTTGCAGGATAATTCACATGCAATGACGCAGCTCAACAACACTCGCCACACAATAGTTAAATCTGGGCCAAATAGAAGCTTGTAGCTCAATATAGGAAAGCAGAGTGAAATACACACTAGTTATAAAATCATGGGGAAAGGCGCTACTTCTGTGGACCGATAGACCACACCACTAGTTCAGAACGGACTCACACCAGCTTTAATCCCTTCGGTTTCGGTTTCTCGGTGAGTTTTTCTTCGGAATTCAAGCGGGACAGCCGGATGTTCGGGTAAGCAGAGAAACCACAGCTTCCTCAAGCATGGAAGGTATGGCGTAGCATCATGAAAGCCACGCGTAACGCATGAACTCTGCTGCACAGCGTCAACTCTAGCAAGAAGAAGGGTGACCAGCGAGAATAATATTTGTGCTGTTTTCAGAAGGCGGGTGGGTACCTTATATTCCACGCTTGGTCCATTCTCTCACTGTGTACTGTGTAGTCGGTAACTCTCTTTTACTCCGAATTTGCTTTGACCGCTAATGATGAATGACTTCCCTTCCAAACTAAAAAAAGTTCAGTGAAAAATAGGAGCTATAGAGCTAGGCCCGGGCACAAAAAATCGTTAACCGTTAACCGTATAAAAAAAACAAATTATCGTTGTTTTTTTGGTTAACCGTACCGGATTTTTCTAAATTTCACGGTACAGTTAACCGAGTCCATGGAATAATGGTTTATGGTTCAATTGCGGTTATGAGAATTTGCTATCCATGGTTAACCGATAACCGAAAATCACTTAGCGTGCTGTTTCCGTAACTCTTTTCTTGGGGTCCAATCAAACTTTCGATGCCGCTTGGAGAACTATGTAGAGTTAATTTCTTGCAAGACTCTTTTTTCCATCGCTGATTCGCTGCACTTAACAACCTATCAAAATGAAGTCTCTAGAATTAATTTCATCTTTACGTGTTATTTTCTTGCAAGACTAGTATTCCATTCCTTTTGAAATATTGAATTAACTAATAATTGCAGCATGTATTGCGGTAAATTCAAGCCTCGTGCATGTATAAGGATGTTTATTACGGATGACGGATGTGTTTACTAATTTAAGTTGGTAGTTTTGTTGTTGTTTCCTTTTTTGGTTCTTTTTTATTTTTGGTTAACCGGTTAGTGGTTAACCAAAATTTTGGTGGTTAACCGATATTCGGTTAACCGATGCTACGGTATGGATAATTGTATTGAATATATAGTTACCAAAATCTCGGTTAACCCGACTCTTGGTTAACCAAACTGCGGTTAACCACATATGCCCACTCCTAGATAGAGCCAACTTACTTTTGAGGTTACACGTTTATCAATCCATTTTTTCATCGAACACACAAAATTTGATCGTAAAGTTGTACAGAGGATCATGCTAACTGTTTTTTTATATGGATACAATTTTTTCTTTATTTTATTAATAAAATATACGTATTTTAAATATGATTTTTAATAAATCAGCCAATTCAGCCACTTAAATCAGAATATCATAAATTTTAACAGAATCAGTCAATACAGCCGATTTGGGTGTTACCAAACGAGCTCTTAATTTGACTAATGGTAATTTATGCGAGGTACTAATTTCTCCCCACACGAAGGACATATTTGACATTTAGCAATTACCAATTAGTGGATAACAGATTATATCAGTAGATTGTTAATAACGGATTCAGTCAACATATTTGATTAGCAGAGTAAGTTGTCGGGTTGCAAAAAAATGTTTAGTATTTAATTGTTTGGTTGTAGCAATCTGCGATTCCATCCAAAAACACTAGGGCCAAAATATAATTACTGTTTAAGCAATATTTTGATAAGCTAAAACTAATTAAAATGAAAATAATATATGCAGATTGGGACTCGTACAAGAACAATAAGGAAGATGACAAGTAAGCAAATAAGAGTGTAATTCAGTGTGTTATTTGAGTGTGAAGCTTCTGGAGTACGGTTGGATTAATTCCTACGTATAGGAGATGCAATTAATACTCTCGAGACCGTTTCTTCCGTTGATGGGTTGGCTCGACGTTATGATAATTTCAAATCTGTCATAAAGGTTGGTCAAACACAATTAATACCTCCCTTAATTACATTAAAGAGCCTACTAATGAATAAAAACGTTACGACAATTATCATTAAGCCTTGTGAATGCACCATTAGTTCTTGCGGTCAACTCTCTTAAATGCAACATAAACCGTTAAATTATTGCTCTAACAATTGCCCCCTTTCAAAAAGTTGACGCTTATGATGCACGGGTCGGACCGTTAAGCGACAATTTGTCGAAAATTTGGAAGAGATTATACTTCGCTTCTTGGTTCATTGCACCTATTGACTCATCAACGACTTGTCGCGGCGTATTGATCAACTCGTCTATGAAATGCTTCCGTCTTTCTTCCTAGTAACTTCCCGATTGAATCCGTCAAGATTGCTTGAAATAATGAAGAATGAAAGTCGGCATCTTATCTCCTCTCCTTCAATATTGCATTGATGACGGGATGACAATGGTTTGAGATTTTGTCCAAATCAATGTTGACACTTCGGTTGGCAAAGGGAACTTCATTCGTTGCTAGAGATGACGAGTTGGGTTACATGAACGTAATCGATATTCTGCAAAAACATTGAATACCACTTCGTTCGTAGTTTTAGCAATATTGCCGACATGAATGTTTATGATTTATGTCAATGTCGTTCGTATTGTCTCCTTATGTTTTGGAGCTTTTCGTTGTCATGCTCTTGAAGCATATGCTTCTGTTGTGTTTCGGTTGTGTATTTCTGTAGTTTTGGCCAAAACATTGCGGAGAATAAGCGGTGTTTATAGTTTTATACTCATGTTTACCGTACATGAAAACCCCACTTCTTCCCTTAAGATTCTGTAATTCCCATCAATTGTGTTTTGACGTTTCTGTAAGGCTTTGTTTGATGTATCTTAGGACTTCGTCATCGTTAATTGTTGATTGTACCTGTGTAAAAAGAATTTGTTAACTTGGTCGTTGGCTAGAAGCCAACGGCCCTCCAATGCTTAAGTTAGTGATCATTTATAGGTAAAGAAAAGTAACAAATTAAAAATGAAACAATTTTATGCTTACCGTATTGCGATTTCTCAAATCTCGTCTATCGTCCGACGATATGCCCCCCCCCCCCCCCCCCCCGTCCGACAATTTCAATCATCTCGTCTGGTCTATCTCGTCATGGAAGTGATGAGTTGTTCTTCAGGTCTTGAATAAAGTTTTCTAGACTTGTAGTCATGCTTCTTGGAAGATTCTAATTTCTCGTGCCCCCTTCATACTCAATTGGTCCGCGAAGAGATCTTAAGTTCTCTTATAGACTGATGAAAGCCAACGTCTTTGTAACACCGCCCCCAAGTATTTGTACTTTATGAAATTATGTATTGAACTCTAAGAAATGAATAAAAGCATTTTTACGTGATTGTAATTTTTTTATCATTTCTTTTACGTGAATAGTAAAATTCACGTGGGGCCCACACCGGAAGTGGGGGCCGCCCGGTACTGTCAGGACCCCATATTATATTAATCTTGGCCTAGATAATATTTATATGGTCGTGGATATCCTAATTGGGCCATGGCAATGGCATAGGGTTGACCGGTTGGTCAAACGGGGCCAAATTATCAGTATCGGCAATTTATCAGATAACAGCCCAAAAAGGGATTTCGGAGACTTCTAAATTAAAGTTGAGGAGTACATATTCCTTCTAAGGTACAATAAGGATTGGGAACAAGTGTTATATTTTATTTGACCCGATAAAATAAAATGTAATTAAAACAGTCCGGAAAATACAACTTTCGGGGCCGAGTGTACGCATCGGGACACAAAGGGGTGACCTCCCACATGTGTGGGGGCCAACCCACGAATTTTAGTCCTGCAGTTGACAAGGGGAGCCGCACAAAGAGAAGGGGGATGGGAAAGAAAAGGGGTTGAGAGGAAAGGCATTAAATGGAGTAGGGTCTCCCACATGCCATGATTGTGAGAAATGCCAAGAAGGCATTCTCAATCAACACCACCCCTACCTATTCGGCCAAACCCAGAAAGAAAGAAGAAAGAAACTCTCAAAACACCTTCCATAGCCACCCAACTCGAGCTCAAGCAATAGAGGTCCAAGGAGGAGGCATAAAGAAAGAAAAAGCTAGGAAACGTATGAAGGATTAAGGTAATAATCTTATAATAACTTTTCCTCTGATTATAACCCATCATATGACTTACATAGAATATGAAGGACCCCTATTATTGTTCTACATGTTTAGAAGTGTAGAATGAGGGGTTGGAAGGTGGTTCTAGGTCCAAGAACGGACTTAGAAGCCAAAGTGACCGGTTCGCCGGAAAATAACCTTTTGGAGGTTATTTGTATTAATAAGGGTTGTATGATGATAAAACCTTGTTAGTAACTTGTCTAAGGTATTCAAGGAACTTTCACGGAGTTGAAAGGGTCACCGGAATTGTCGCCGGAGTTCGTTGAAGTTCGCCGGAGTTTCGCCGGAGCTCAATAAAGAAGGCTAGAACATCATAAGCTTTATTTAAGGTGAGAAGACGACTTTATGATTTATAACTTTTACGTGAGGCGTGAGATTACCTAAGGTAATCAAGGATATGTTTTATGGAATGATTAAAGATAACCAAGTTTTTGCTTATGCCATGATTATACTCCCTCCGGTTCCTATTAAAGTTCTCAGTTTGACTTCACACAGATTAAGAAAATAAATTTGACTTTACTGTGGAGTGCACTGTTTGGCACTGTTTGGACACTGTTTGGCACTGTTTGGCACTGTTTGGACACTGTTTGGCACTGTTTTGTTTCCTACAATGGAAGTGTGAACTTAAATAAGGGACATCCCAAAAAGGAAAGTGAGAACTTTAATAGGAATCGGAGGGAGTACATAAAACATAGTTGAAAAGCATGTTATGTAGGTTTGATGATTAAAAATGTGATAACTTATTATGTATGATGTTCCAGGGATCCAAAATGGTATTTTTGGATCAAAGACGTCAAGAAGTACATGTGTATAAAATTTCACGTTAATCGGACTCCGTTTGGGCGGTCAAATGGGCGTTGACCGCCAAGTCAACTGCTATACCCGATCGAGTATGGGTAGGTACTCGATCGAGTATACACAAAAAATTAGCCTTACGGGCTACTGTCTCCTATATTCGACCGAGTATAGGGGGTACTCGATTGAGTATTGGGTTATGCTCAAAACGGGCAGTTTTGAGTAGGTTAATGTGGGCCGTTCAGGTGGGACCCGCCCACGTCGGTTCCTAAGGATGGTTATATGACTATATGGCTAGGTATTGTCCATAGTTAAAGGAATGAAAGGTTAGCCATATCCAGGTTAGGGTTTGGTAAGGAATAAGTTTGGGGTTGAGCATCCCCGGGACTGTAAATGATCCT